AAGAATATGTTCTATCTCGGCGAAAGTGACTTCCGGGATACCCCTAGGTGTCTTGTTCAGAACTACCTGTTATTGGTGTTTACGAGTATCCTGTGCGCGTCTATCGTGCTCAAGTGTATGTCCTTCTCTTTCAGCTGATTGTCATTCGATTAATAATGTTTCTCCCAGTCCTTTCCGCACTTCAACTGTCTCCCAAGCGGTCGCCTGAGATGCAGGACAAGTTCATCCTTTGTCAGATTCCTTGTTACACGGAGGGTGAGGATTCTCTACGGCGGACAATCGATTCCTTGGCATCGTTGAACTACGATGACAAGCGGAAACTGCTCTTCATCATTTGCGACGGTAACATCATTGGCAGTGGGAACGACCGCACGACTCCCCGTATTGTGTTAGATATCCTTGGCGTGGACCCTAAGCTTGATCCTGAGCCTTTGTTGTTCAAGTCGATCGGTGAGGGCTCAAAACAGCTCAATTATGGCAAGGTATACTCGGGCTTGTACGAATTCGAGGGTCATGTTGTTCCGTGAGTGTCTGTCCCTCATCTACTTTAGTGCGAGTCTGAGAGTTGATTTACAGGTACATGGTGGTTGTGAAAGTCGGCAAGCCTACTGAGCGTTCGAAGCCTGGAAACAGGGGCAAGCGTGACAGTCAGATTCTCCTCATGCACTACTTGAATCGTGTCCACTTCGATGCGCCAATGTCGCCTCTCGAGCTCGAGATTTACCACCAGATGAGGAATGTTATTGGCATTGATCCTGCTTTCTACGAGTACATTTTCACTGTCGACGCTGATACAGTGAGTTCATCGTCTTGGTTCTTTCATTTACGCTGACGTCCTTTGCAGCAAGTAACGCCCGAATCTCTGAATCGACTGGTTGCGTCTGCTGCAGACGACTCAAGTATCATTGGTATCTGTGGTGAGACCAAGCTCACGAACGAGGAGGGTTCATGGTGGACGATGATTCAGGTTTGTTTACCCCTTTACCTCTACTGCTACCCGAGTTGACATCGAATATAGGTATACGAGTACTATATCTCTCACCATTTGTCAAAGGCCTTCGAGAGTCTGTTCGGTTCAGTTTCGTGTCTTCCTGGATGTTTCTCGCTCTACCGTATCCGCACTGCAGACAAGGGTCGGCCTATCATCATCTCCAACCGTATCATTGACGAGTACGCCGAGGGAAACATAGATACGCTTCACAAAAAGAATCTGTTCTCTCTTGGTGAAGATCGTTTCCTGACGACGCTCCTCCTAAAGCACTTTCCCACGTTTAAGACCAAGTTCATTCCGGATGCAGTCGCACATACTATGGCTCCTGAATCTTGGCGTGTTCTGTTCTCACAGCGGAGACGGTGGATCAATTCTACAATCCATAATTTGTGCGAGCTGGTGGTTTTACCCGAACTTTGCGGGTTTTGCTGTTTTTCGATGAGGTTCTTCGTTTTCATCGATCTCTTGGGCACCATCGTGAGTGTCGCATCTTTGCACCCGTAGTTCTTGACCTAGATTTTCTTCTAGATCCTGCCAGCCACGGTTGTCTACGTGAGTCTCAGTTGTATCGAATTTGACATGCATTTCTCATCATATTATTCCAACAGTTGGCTTATCTTATCGTTGTCGTTGCTACTGGCAATGCGGCTCTGCCATTAATTTCTATCATCATGTTGGGTATCACATATGGTTTACAGGCAAGTCGTCTACTATCTCACAGGACTTGACTTACTGTGCATCGCAGGCTTTGATCTTCATCATCAAACGTGAATTCATGTTGGTAGGATGGATGGTAGTCTACCTCCTCTCGTGAGTGTCTCGTGTGCAGCATTGCCATGCGTATTTACCTTTGTTGCAGATATCCGGTGTACAGTTTCTTCCTACCCATTTACTCATTCTGGTGCATGGACGATTTCTCCTGGGGAAATACGCGTATTGTCATTGGTGACGGAGGTAACAAGAAGGTTGTCATGAAAGAGGATGAGCGGTTCGATGAGTCAATGATTCCGTTGAAGAAGTTCAGTGGTGAGTGATCTCGACGCTTATTTACTACTCTTCAGCTCACGGTTGATTTCCCAGACTACGAGGCAGAAGCTTGGGAAAATGGATCACATCGTTCTGATGAGACAGGTTTAACCAAACCTCGTTCCAATCGTCCTTCTCGCCAGGGGTCTCCGCAAAGCTTCCGTCCGTCTCTCACCGGCGATTACTATCGAGATACGAACATGACCAAGAACAACTCAAATACCAATAACCGCGGTCCCCCCTCTCATATCAGCCATGGTTCTCGACAAGGGTCAATGCATGACGGACGGCAGCCATCCGTACCGCAGTACAGCATTCCACAGATGCCATTTATGCCGTTCGGCGGTGGAGCAGGTTCAGTACATGGGTCGGACTATGGACACATGGCTATGATTCCGCCTCTGGGATACCAGCACTCTGGCAGTGTATACGGTGGGATGCCTCAAGGTGCAATGATGATGAACATGCCTATGATGACGGGAGGCTCTCAGACAGGCGGCTTTGGCACGCTACCTGCGATCGGAGGAGATGCACGGCCCCTGTCGATGTTCTCCATGGCAACATCTGTGAATCCATTCGCTGGCCCGAGCTTCAACCCCAATCCTACCGACGATGACCTCTTCAATTCTCTACGGAACTATCTCAGCACGCAAGATTTGATGACAGTCACGAAAAAGTACGTCATGTATTGTTCTTTTACCACTCGGTACTGATTGATTGCAGGACCGCTCGTGAGGCGATCATGGCTAAGTTCCCCAAAGCTGATCTTACATCCCGGAAAGACTTTTTGAACGAGTCGATTGACAAGATTCTGTCGCAGTCATAAAGGAAGCAACATTTCTATTGCGTGATCTCCATAATATTCCTTACTTCACGAACGGCGCCAACGTGCCTTGAACATTCCCTCATCATCGTATTTCATTCTATTTCAGACAATCGTTTGGTCGCATATATGGACACTGCCGCTCGTCCTGAGAATTATCACTGCATCGTTGTATCATCCTTCTTGGACTATGCACTCGTACGTACTATAGACTTAACCTACATAATTAGGTCTCTGGACATGGGTTTCCAATACACTCTTTCTCTAAAATTGACGACGTGTATATCTAATTATGCCTTACACAGCCGTCGTGATGAACGTGACTAAGACTTGTTCATTGCATGCGCCTGCGTTCAACGTTAACGTTCAACTTCAGTCTGAGTTAAGTATGTCCGTAGGTGTCGGATACGAAATTAGCTCACAAAATACACACTGTGATAGAGAACTACCTTTCCCTGTTATCCAAGATGCCTACAGACGAATCCGCATCTGCTCCTCGCCAGCCATATCATGTCCGTACATTTTCCAAACCGACCGTCGAGCTTTTTGAGGCTGCGCTTCCCACATTGAAAGAGGAGTCTAGACAGTACGTCCTGACTGCTTTGACCACCCTAGAATACTGGAGCTGTGCATGGTGATGGTACTTAGATGCATCGAGAATCTGTTGAATTATCGTGCACGACACATACAGGTCAAGTTCCCTCGGAGTCAGAGTGCGGCGGTCCTGGTTCCATTGTTTATCGGTCGTGCGGGGGACCTGTATGTGTTACTAAGTCGGTGAGCTCCTGGTTAGCTGCGTCCTGTTTATGACTGAATTGCTGCTAAAAGGCGGTCAGCTAGCTTGAGGCAGTATGCGGGTGATACTGCACTTCCGGGAGGAAAGGTGGAGCCCCGAGATATTACTGTTGAGGATACTGCGGTACCCATATGGAATTCCTTTTTGAATCTTGGTCTGACTTGTCTGTTTGCAGAGGCGCGAGACCTTTGAGGAGGTACAGAACTGTGTAATTACACGGGTTCTTATACTAGCACTGATGTTTGAGGTGAATTCCGCTGCAGATTGGGCTTATTCCAGACCGGGAACGAGTGCCCTTGCTGTGTGTGATGGAGCCCTTTCTTGCTGGTAACCAGATGGTAGTGACTCCGTGAGTGTGTTGCTGGTGTTTTGCGCGGACTGACACAGTCGTTTAGGGTTGTTGTGCTCATTCTAGACAACACTATGCAGGTATATTGAACTCATGTTGGAGGTATCATTAGATGTTATAACTTTTTCGGGTCATAGCCCAGTCTCAACGAGTCGGAGGTGACCTCGATATTCTCCCAGCCCCTCGCTTCCTTCCTCGCGTCATCTTTCCCTTTCCACCCATACCGTGTTCCAGATCCTTTGATACCCTACCACACGGCGATAGAGTGGGAATGGAGCGGAGGCGGTCAAATCCGCATGCATAGCTTCCTCACCGGACGCGAAGCAGACGGCGTGAAACCTGTGTTTGGGCTTACTGCGTGCGCTTATAAAACAATACCCACACAAATATTTACACTAATCTTAGGAGCATATTGATCTACGTTGCCATCTGGGGGTACAGACGTGCTCCAGACTTTGAGTTGCAGCCGCCAAACGCGCCTACGCAGGCTCAGCAGATCGCTTGTGCGCTCCTCACGCCTTCGAATCCACTGCGGCTGGCGTGCGAGGGCGAGGGCATTGATGCGAATGTAATGGCTGAGTCTATCCTGCATACACCACAGGAGCTGAACTCTGGGCCTGATATGATTGAGTGGGACAAGAGCGGTAGAGAAAGGGAGAACACAGGGCGCCAAAGTGGCCAAAGTGAGCGCAAGGACGGTGACGCTAAACTCTGATGTTCAACAGCGAACACCTCACTGATGCTGATTATAACTCGTATTGGAACTGGTGTCGTAGCCGGCTACTTACATGCCAGAGTAGACGATCTATTAGATGGATTTGTATTTCTTTTTTACGTCTGAGCTTCGTCTTGCTATCAGTATGATGAGCGTCACGCATACGGTAGTTGAGCGCGTACAGCGGCATGCTCGCACGAAGGACATATAACAATTCTGTACTGATCGATATATACTAGTACAAGGTTACTGAGTCGACAACGAGAATCAAATACAACAGTCTGTCAAATTATGAGCCAATCAAACAGTGACGGATCCAGAAGGAAGCTCTGCTTTGCCTGTCAACGCAGCTATGCTATGCACGAGCTGTTCAACCTGTTTCACAAGTGCACTAAGTCGGAGATCCTGTTCTACGAAGCGAGATTCCACTATCGCAGCCAGCTTATCGACTCGTAAGGAAAGCGAAGTAGTCTCGTCCACGTTAGCCAAAGGTTCGTCTGATGTTTCGATGCCTGTATCTTGAACCCGGTCTTTAATCTTGACCAGCCAGTGTTTGTAAGGGTGGTGATCTGTGGCCACGTTGAACACATCGTGAAATGCACAATCGCCGCATAGGGCAATGGGGGAATGGCTTTCTGTGATAATTGTCAAGCTTTGTGCCCCGTTAGACGTATGAAAATCTGACCTCCGCAGTTAAAGCATACATAAAAAATGCCCTTCATCTTGACGTCGCATTCAGCACAAGAATAGGCATCCTCATTCGCGGCTGAGGTTCCAAGTATCTTCTCGAATGCTACTCCAATGTTCCCATTGAGCTTCTCACCACCTCCCCACAAATCGACACAGGTGGAAGAATCATCTGCTCGAGTGGCTTCTGTCGGATGCGGAAGCTCAGGTCCATCTGATTGCGTTTGGGATACGTCTTCTGGCGGTGTTGTGGTGGGCAGAATCTCAGATAAGAAATTCCTGGCATGCCATCGAACCCGGCTGCAGCGACTATAAGGTAGCACCATGCGGAAAACAAGCAAGTTGTGCGTCGCCTTGTGGTCCGATGGATATTTGTGTTTTGAAATTGGTAGAGATTGGCATTCTGAACACAAATTATACCCGTCTAGATATGATCAGTCATATTGTGCACCATAGTTGTTTTGATCGCACTCACCATCCTCGCAGTCTATACAACGGTGATATACATCAGTGATAAGGGAGTGACATGCATCGCAGCAACACCTGAACACCAGATAAGTAGATGGTTGAAGAATGATAGCTAACAGAAGCTGGACTTACTCAAACAATCGTTTTCGTATCTCAAGTTCAGCTAATGAACTCCAGTGCTGGACATCTGATTCAGGCAGCCCTTTGGACAGGGATTTGAACCTTTGTTGTTGCTCGGGCAATAGGTAAGGTGGGATTTCCAAAGGGAACGACTTTCTCTTATTGTGAAGCTTATTCAAGCACCACAAACGGATATATTCGTCCTTGGGATCTTCAGGCTGCTGGCTGAGGGTGTATGCGACGAGCTCCACAGGCCTTTCTAGCAATTCCTGGTCCTCTGTCAGGCTGAAGGGACCAAGTTTCAACGCTGTCGTATCAATCTCCAGCTCAGTGTCGTCAACCTCAAAATCATGGGCTTCCCAATATTCAGCGTCGTCTGCGGTTCGTTCTGGGCTGTGCCAACAGTTGTACTATTGCGGGGCGTCAGGGACCGGAAATGAATATACTGTTGCTGTCTCTACGCACCAAGCCGTGTGCATACCACGTGAACCTCGCTTTTGCATCTGTTCCTTGCTGGCGAAATGATTCTGTTGTAGTAGTAGAAGGAAAAGCGCATCACAACCGTGAGTTTGGGAGCGTACCTGCCAGTTGTTCAACACGCAGATCCACCGCTTCCAATATATTGGATATCGTCTGAGTTGCACATTCAAACTCTCTATCCACCAGAATCACTGTCTTGGCGAGTTTCATGATTTGTAGATGCCTCCTCGTAACGAGGTAAAGCACTGGGAGCAAGAACTGAACAAACATTCATGTGAGCATTCGGTACAAACGTTGAGTGAACGATGACTCACATTTTCGATGCGGTCGGATCCGAAAAGTTTGAAGGACTCTTTGGAGTCGATTTCATACTTTACAGCGTCAAGTCTTTTCACCAAGTCCTTCTCCTGAACGTTGCGATATCCATCAGACAATTGCGTGAGATCCAAGTCTGAGTCCTCTGGCCCAAGCTCTGCAAGAGAACGCACGAGCCGTTTGATGCCTGTTTACATGTGTTAAATATCCGGATTCAAAGGTGAGAAAAACGCCAAACCTTGGATAACATCTGAATCCAAGTACAAGGCGATACACCTCCTGTTTACTGGAAGTACATCTGCTTGCGCATGAACCATGCTGTGCAAGACTTGTTCAATTCGTGTGTGGTAATGTTGGCTATCCACTCTCCAACCTTTGCTGATGTAAACACTCCAAGTTCGACCTGACGACAATGACTAAAACACTCACCTGCAGCCCAGTATGCAAGTGCTTGAGGTACACTCAAGCCCGGAAGTATCGCGGACGTAAAGGCGTTAACTTCCCTTACGCTGATCAAGCCATTTGCGTCCTCATCGAAGACTTCGGATAAACTCGAAATGTAGAAAACTGACAGATATTTCAAGCACCACTCGTCTGCAGGGTCGACTGGAGGAGACTGAGTGTGGGGTGCGCTTGATGTCAATTTTGGGCGTGGAGCATCACCATGCAGGTTGGAGAAACGCTGCGTGAAATAATCATGGAGTTCTGCGATGAAGTATAGTATCTTGACGCTTGTTGACCATTTCTTGAAGATCATAAGTAAGTATGCGCTTTGATCACGCCTGCGCAAAGACGTACCATCTCTTTCCAGATAAATTGGAGGTGCTGGTGAAATTGACCGAGTTAGTGAGGCATAGGGCCGAGTTTCTTAATCCTTACTGGATCTTTGACCCGTCTAAATTTGCCGCCGAGGGCCGACATAATGCGCGTTTCAGAATCCTTGATGGCATCTTTGATCTCGGCTGTCTGTTTATCAAGCTTGAACATGAAGAGCGCACGATTCTCGTCGAGTAAGCTGACTACAGGAGTGCGCAATTCGTGAAGCAGCGAGGCATCAAGGCGATACTGCTCCGCGACCGATTTGTTCGCTGATGGGGTTTGTGAAGGAGGTTTGACATCTTTGGACGGGGCATCAGAGCGTGCTTGAATCTGTGCTTCCTGCTGCTTGGCAAATTTCACTAGCTCTGTTAATTTGTCTTCGCTTTCGAAACCTGGATCCATTCCACCGCGCATGATCACTTCTTTCGCAAATCTCTTTTCGCGTTCGGTTTCAAAATATTGAGCCATTGCACCGTGAAATCTCTCTCCTTTTGCCATTTTCGCTTCGCGTTCAGCTAGCATCTTGGTGAGATCCTCCAGCTTTTTGATCGCAGTGTCGACTCCCAACGCCGTCCTGATAGCCAAGGCGTCCCGAAGTTCCTGTATACACTGGGTAAAGTTCCCGCTGATCGCGAGGAACTTATCCGCCCAATGGGATGATCTAAAGAATTTCACTAAGGATGCAATTCTCAATCCGGCGAGAAATTTAAGAATTCGAGATCGACTGACCGACGAATTTCGACTTGTAGTATTTGTCGATGGCATTTCCGCAATCCTCGACATTGTGCTTCATTTTATCCAAGACACCATCCAGTCGGCCGCGAATAGTGCCGCGAGGTCCTACAATGTCTGGGTCTCTGGTGTCTTTAAGTCTATCAACGGATCGAATCAGCGAAATTTGTGTCGAGTGAGCGTCAACCAACGAACTGAAGAAGCATATTCATCATATCAAATGCCTTTGCAAGCATCAAACAAACTGTACGATCGTTCTCTCTTCGCCTTATTTCAAAATTCACGACAGCCTTGAAAGCGATTATAGCCACTACAAGTTATCTTAGCCGAAGTAGTAATGTCGACAAGTCGAATACTCACCACTAACAAAGGGATGGATCTGTTGCAGAGTATCCAGGGCATCCATCACCTTCTTTGCCTCTCCAAAAAAGCCGCCCATATTCTTCTTCAGGAGGTCCGCAACCATCTGGTCAGCTGAGGACCGCTGGATGACTGCAGCATTGTCATCGTATAATGTGTGCGCTGATTCAACTTTTTCAGTGGTCTTGGAGATTAAGTTCCCTATGCGAGGACACGATGATCTGATTATTAAGTAAGTGGATGGAGTGACAGCGACGAACCTGCCTGGTCCACATTTTTGAGCATTCTAGCCGACGTTGATTTAGAACTTGTGAGGGCATCATACAATGCCTTCTGCGCTCGTTCTGTGGTGATAGCGGACATGTCTTGTTATTAATGAACCTCAGAGGTTCTGTAGAAGAGAAAGAGATTGTAGGTTGTTAAGCAACAAGGGAAGGTGAATGAAACAAAAGTAGACGATCTATAAACGAGCTCACTAGTCGGTTTATATCCATAGAATCTGATGCTTATAGGCGCTGAACCTTGTGTTCTATCATAGATAAGCCTTATTCTGCATAGCGGCGGCGCCTGACATACAGCGCTAGATGCGTGCAATCACCAGGGAGTCAAGTTGATCCCGCCATTAGCATAACCTGCAAAATGGTCTCCCCCAAATGAATGAAGATAGTCGTACAGAAGATCACTGGTATGTAAATTTGAGCGAGTGCTAGCGCTTGGGGCTTCATGCAACTCACCTAAGTTTTGGCGTCAGGAGTCTTTTCGGGTCATAGTTATGTCGTCATTTACATCTTTTCCTTTGGATATAAGTGGTCGATGTGGCACATTGTGACACACACTCCAAACGCCGTCCGGCAGGACGACGCAAGTAAGCATAAAAGGAACACTGCGATAGGAAGGGTCAGTAAATAAAGATTAGAGAACTCGGTGATTTCGGCAAGTTTTTCATGACAGGATAATTTGTAGTTTCTAGTTTGTTGCCTCGGAGCTAGAGGTGATTGATCCTAAGATGCACTCAGGCTAATGATTTGTGGGTAAGAATGAAGTTGCACAACACTGATCTGGCATAACACTCATGTGGCGAGGCATAATTTGCGATGAACGTGAAAGTCGCCGAGTGTCTGAATTGCGCGAGGGTACTCCCACCGATTATGCAGTACTGAAATCCATCGATTATGAAGAACTTGGCCCTGACAGGATGGACAGACCATACGCAAACGAAATACGTAGTCGTTCGTTCTCTTTTCAGAAATAGATAATGTTAATCAGTACTCACGAAGGTCAACTTCCAGCTAGTATACACAGCCACCCACACAGAACCGTGGTCATCAGAAAAGCGTGGACCCGATAACTGTTGACATTGTAAAACTTGAAGCGCTACGTATGTTAGGACAGGTGGGTTATGAGAAGGAAGCCAGCGCTACTCACCACACGCAACGCAACCGCGACGACGTCAAAGTCTACTGACCGCCTATCGTTCTGTCCCACATCGATGCCAGGGGTATCTGATATGCAAATCTCACTTTGGGAGGTGACCGGACGTCGGGGCAGACAAACAGAGGGTACATGAATATAGCCTTGGATGTAGTAGTATTCTTCGATGACGGTCGTCAGGTCGTAACTTCTTCGAAAGTGAATGGATCGTTGAGTTCAAAAAGATGAGCACCTTGGGCTGCAACCACACTACCGCGTTACAAACCAAAAGTATCAAAGACCTTAGAATGGAATTTAGCAAAGGTCTTCAGTTCAAATATTCGATATCAGTGACGCGTGATGCATAATGTGGAATGAACTACTCCGAATCCCGATGATATCTAATTGTGAATCAGTGATATATAGGCTCTATTTCAGAGATTGACCCCGATGCTGTTCCTTATCTTGAGACGCACAATATTGAATCACTATACTCCTCATGCTCACCCTACACCCTTGCGTGCTTTTGGCCCTTGGCACACGTGGATGCCGTGGTGACCTGGAGGTAACTTCGCTTCGCTTCGAATTCGGTTCACTTCGCTTCGGCAGCAAACACTAGTGTCAAATTTCCAATTCAATTCGCTTCGCGGCGCCGGCAACACTGTTGCCGGGTATGGTTAAATATAGTTCACATAAACGTTCGTGCGGGCCGCTGCTCGGTAGTCTGTACATACTTATAATCGACTGTCCTCCAGGCTTTCTCGACAGGCTATCATGGTCAAAAACTCTGGGCACCTGCTCGCCCTTCCGTTGTCTACTAGTTCCGGCAAGCCTGCTGCGATCTATGATGACTCCGGTCTAACATATTATCGCCTACCCCCTAGTTCTTTTCCAATCAGGAAAGCAATTTCAATCTTGCTCGCACTCTTTATGACAGTGTTGCTATCCGGACGTCATTTCGGCCTTCTTCCGCGACTTGCATCGGAAATCAACAGTACTAGTCGTATTCTTTTCAGCGAGTCACAACAATTTTGGGGACCGTACACTCCATACTATCCTGTCGAAGAGTACCAACAGCCTCCCATCGGATGTAGTATAACCCAGGCAAGTACACTCGTCATAGATGAGTTTGCTCTTGATAATCACTATTCATATCGCCCCAGGTCAACATTGTAAGTAGACCCTGGTCGCCAGTGACCACCAGTTCTTCGCTTAAACCATCAACAGCTTCAGCGCCATGGCGCACGTTATCCCACCAGCGGCGCCTCTAAAAGAATCCAAAGGAGTTTGCAGAAATTGTTGAACGCTTCCAAATATACCGATATGAAGCTGGAATTTCTTCGTTCATACCAATGGCACCTTGGTGTAGCTGATCTTGTGCCCTTAGGCTCCACACAGTAGGACTAACATCACGAGCTTCCAGCCATGTCGATGCTTAAGGATCACGTTTAGGTCATTTCATTCGGGTGCAGAAATATACCATCGGTACAGCCATCTTGTTGACGATCATATGTTACCCTTTGTCAGAGCGTCTGGGGGAGATCGCGTAGTGATGTCTGCTGTTAATTGGACTGCAGGTAAGCATACAGTCGAAGTATGAAACTTTTCTGGACCATTGCAATTCCAGGTTTTGCCGATGCAAGTCGACAGCTCTATCATCCATCAGTCTCAGTCATAATATCCGAAGCAGACACAGTAGGATACATATCTATCAAACTGAATTTGCCGATTGCTCATCTACGGTCTTTCTTCTAGTCGAACAATACCTTGAAGAACAGCATGTGTCCCAACTCCCGAGCATCAAAAAATGAAACGAATACGTGGCGAGATATATTCTCACCTTCGATCGTACATCGCCTCAATACAGCTGCTGTTGGAGCTGAGATTCTCAGCCAGGACATTCCCGAGCTAATGTCGTTATGTGCATTCGAGACTGTATCTGAGGAGAAAGAAAGCCAATTTTGTGATCTATTCTCTCTACAGGAGTTCCAAGCCTACGAACATTATCAAGACCTGCAGAAATACTACATGACGGGGTGAGTAACTCATCAACAAATCATGTTGACGCTCACACTGCAACTGTGACAAGGTACGGAAATCCTCTGGGCCGTGTGCAAGGTGTCGGCTACGTGAACGAGCTTCTTGCGCGTCTCAAGGGGACACCTGTCGAAGATCACACGCAAACCAACACCACTCTTGACTCATCACCGATCACGTTCCCACTCGATAGAACGGTCTACGCTGACTTCTCTCACGACGATGAGATGGTTGCCATCTATAGTGCACTTGGACTGTTCCCCCAGACACATCCTCCTAGCTCCACAGAGGCTAGCCCGCAATCGACATGGGTAGTTTCTCGTCTTGTGCCTTTCTCTGGGCGGATGATCACGGAAAAGATGCAGTGTTTCGAAGCGGGGATACCAAGAGATTTTATTCGAATTCTCATCAACGATGAAATCCAGCCTTTGGCGTTCTGCGGTGCGGGTGATGGATTGTGTGGGCTGGAAGCATTCGTGGATAGCCAAATCTATGCTAGACACAATGGCGATGGTGATTTCGAAAAATGTTTTCTAGAGTAGATTGTGACCCCCTTGTGGGGGGTGGTTGTAATATTAATAGCTGACGTAACCGTATGTGCCCTTGGATCGAGACGACACATCACATTACCTTCCGATTCTGAATCTTTCACCATGCCTCAGCTCTATAGGCGAGAATCACAGAGTAATGACGTAGAATCTTCAGAACACTTGGTACCAACAGATGTGGACGATTCCATCGTCCTATCAGATCTTGTTCGCAGCGGCGAAGCATCCAGATTGCGGAGAAGAGGCGCAATGCGACTTGATCATAATGTCGTCAACGCCCAGCGTGCAGAAGCTGGACGTGTCACTCCGCCATGGCCAGGAGTGAGGGTGGAAAGGTCACCATCATGGATTGAATCTCCTAGCGATGACGAAGAGTCAAACCAGAATTGGGAGCAAAGCTACGATGCGCCGCTGTCGCCGCAGACGGACTCAGTTGCTGCGGTAGGGCCAGACCCATATTGCCACATATTATTTTGTGGTGGGGACGACGAGCAACCATGTTTAAACAGGCCCTCGACCTATGTTCTATCGCCGCTTCCGTCATATCCACCGCCACCGCCTCCGAGCGGCTATCAGTCATCCAGATGGCAAACCAATGGATGTGGCGCTGTAGTTCATATGCGAGCTTCGCGCCGGGGTAACACTGGTGTGTGGATAGCTAGGAACGATGCAACATCTGCTGTCGTTCCATTAGACACATCATACTTTGAGCGTGCTGCGGTTATCCGAATGGTTCGCAGTGCATGCGGATGTCTTCGTGAAGGAGTTGGATGTGCTATTTGGTGAGCCAGACATTCTACAGACGACTTGCAACGCATCTGACTGCAATTTCAGCGGAAATCCGTTAGGGTCTAGGTATAAACCATGCCAGGCTGCAGCAGAGGGTCTCTTTGCTTCTCGACATCACCCTTCGGGCCCTCTGACTCCTGAAGGTCCTAGGTATTGGCATGCGCACTCATCACCTCTGCAGCATGCACAATCCTACGTGTATACCTTTTTCGCCGAGAACGTGACATCTACACCGACACACATGACGGCTCAGGACGACTGTTCGTCTCCCGCACTACAACAAGATTTCCTGTCGCCTATCGATAACCCATATTCCACATTTTTTGATCAAATTGTCACCACTTCGCCTTCACCCATGTCAACTCGTGGGCGTGATAGCCCTGACTCGGATGCTTCGTCGCACGCCGAGCAACAGTTTGATCCAGACGGCGTGTTCATCGCTGCTGATCCTGGCTCGCCAGACAAAATAGGTACTGGGTTGACACTCGTCCCTGAGCGGTGATACCTCATGATAACTTCCTCGACGAACTCTGTTTGGTATTGATATTATTTGGCGGCATTGGACGCTCCAGCTCATTCTCGCATTTTAAATGTATCTTATTGGATCTGTTATCATTACCCAAAATCTATCCGCATTGTAGGGTTATTATCATCATATCATGCACACTTCGTTTTCTCCCATCGTGTTTTTATCATCTTGTACATCTCCAGACACCAAAATCTACTAGTGATATGAATTCAATATCATGTTTCTTACTTACTAAGCGGGTGAACATTACTTGCTACCATCCACTTCCGTCGTGTATTTAGCTTCCTACGAACTTTTCCAGCCATTTGCAGAACGCTAGGCCAAAATTTTCTCACTACATACATTCGGCAATAAGTCGGGACAACAAAATTTTAACTTCCGACGGACAACCTTGATCCACAACTCGGATGGGACGATACATATCCAAGGAACGAAAGCAAGTTGCTCTACAAATGAGCTTGCTAAATGTCAAGGACCCAACGATTCGTCGTTACACTGGGATCAGTGAGCGGTCATTGCGATATCTTCGGAAGGTGTATCGAGAGACTGGCGAAATTGTGAGGACACCCTATTTTTCCTATTGCACCTGTGAGCCCAGTTCACCATGACTAGCATACCTACATATTTGATCGGAGAGTCGAAGTTAAAATACCGCTGTGTATGTAGTGAGAAAATTTTGGCCTAGCGTTCTGCAAATGGCTGTCATAGAAACGATGTTGGTGCTCCACCATAGAGTAAACTTATCCGATACGAACGGATACCAGGGCACCCCTGCCCGACATTTAATGTCACCGTGACAGCACGGAACTTAGGCCGCCACCAGAGAACCGATGAGTCCTGTAGGTGCGTTACGTTGAATTTTTCGGTGACTACCGAATGTATGGCGCTGGAAGCCAATGGCACAGTGAATATTACCTGATAGCTTATAGTCAACATCCCGTGAATCGACGTGGAACTCATCCATTCTTCACATAGGAATGTCTGCATCACGTAGGGGTGTGGAAAACTATCGTGGTGGGAGAGGGCTACGTGGGATTAGTGGAGGCGGGATCTACTGCGTGATTGGGTGAAGGAGGGTGAGCATCCGAGGTACAAAGTATGAAATGAATACTTACTTGTGCGTCTTTCCCCCAACACCGCTTGTGACGACCCTGAACCCTCAACGTTCCCCCCCACAGTAGCCCAACAGCGTCTCATATGTAGAGCGATTAATGAAGTGCTATCGTGGGTGTGCAGCAAGATGCATCTGTATTCGAAACTTCAAAGCAATATATACGGCCATGTAGAAGCGCCGCAATCAGCATAATCGCTAGCAAGAACTCACCGGTTCGCCGATTTGATGCTGGCGAGTTGAGCTGTCACATTGCATGTTTCCGAGTCCCAGACGATGTCCGTATTTCTAAACACAAGTTTCTGGTTTACTACCAGCAGATCAATCTTGAATTCTGTAGATGAGCGCTTGATCTCAGCGTCAAAGAGGATCGGAAGTGACGGTTCTGAAATAAGATAGTTGAGATGTGGTCAAAGACAAACACAGTTTGCAAAATATCCATGTCTACAACATTGGAATTGCGGCATGTACATGTACTCAGAACAGTCTGATTCGATAGGACGAGGAAAGGTCGCCTTCGTAAACGTTCACGTGTCTAGAGCGAAACCGATGAACGAGCAGCGATGAAGTTTGATTGAGTACTTGTATTTGTGGCACATCGTTGAGTGAGAGAAGGAAAACAGTTTTGACGCTTTAGTCATGGCGCTGGCAGTGACTACATGGCTGTGAGGGGAAGCGATGAAAAGTAAGTGCGACGGATACAATGATGCAGGGTGAAATATACAATGCACTGATAACGGAAGACCTCACCCTTGCAAATTTGAACGCTCCCCAAGAATACTTTGCTCGTACTATTTCACAGTTTCGCTGATGGAGACGCAGCCATGGCTTCCGCGCAGACATCGAAGGCAGCTCCCATGAGGTCGAATTTGACGCCATCAATTATCTTAAAGGGTCATGGAAACTTGATTCAGTCCATATCCTATTTTCCAGACGGTCAGCGAATGTTCAGCGGATTTGAGGACAAGACCGCTGAGCAATGGGATCTGAAGGCGGGCAAGGAGGTTGAGGATTCGTGGATTATTTGCGAGAATGAGGTAAGAGCAGTGGGGGTATCAAGGGATGGTCGATGGGTTGTCACTAGCACTGGTGGTGGAGATTGAAGTAGTGCCGAGTTGAAAGCCTGTGAGGTTGAGACGGGGAATGTGAAAACATTCAAAGGACACTCACGCTCCAAGGGATGGTCGATGGATTGTCACTGGTGGTGCATATTTGAAAAAGTGCCAGGCTGAAAGCCAGCTGTGAGGTTGGGACTGGGGTTGTGAAAAAATTCGGAGGACACTCAGATTGGATGACATGCATTGATACCTACATATTATGGATCAAGACATCTTAATGCGACGAACCTGCAGGTCCAATAGGCTTTCAATATCAATCACATGAAAAGTTCCAGATGAAGTTCGCAAGTTCTGGGGTGTTCCGATGGCCGAGGTCGAAACGTAAATACCTTATCTATATAGGGCAAACTCGGACACTAACTCGGCACGAGTCAAGATTTGGTGCCTGTGACAGCGGACACACCAAATTGCTCCGAGCTCCATACTAAGTACTACCAAAGTTCAGCCTGATGATTGTGATCCAACTTTCGTTGTGCCATACATATGTATGTATTTACTTACCTGCACCCATGGATATCAAGGTTGTTGCATGATGAACAATGCTAAAATTTCTCGAGCGCTTGCATGAACCACGTTCCATTACTCTAACTTGAACGTGGCTGAATGATTAGCGCTGCCTTGAGGCTTGTAGACTAGTCAAATTGTGGTCCTACCGAGTACTCTCCCCTCCCTCTAATTCTCGCATTGATTTTCCTCAAGCTGATCTCAATTTTTGACTGTTCGCAATGAGCCAAGACCACAGGCAGGAACCTCCTCCAGAGGCCAATGAATCCAGAGAACCAACTGTAACTGCTGGCGAGAGCTCGGTACGTGCCCTAATAACATCGCTGTCGACATGCGCTAACGACATCGTCGCTGCCTCGCGCATCTTTCATCCAGAGCCAGCATCGTAGCGGCTGCGGTCTCGGTCAGGCCCTGCGGAAAGTTAAGAAGAACGTGACTAAAAAAGTTTCTGTACGTCGGACTGAATACTGAAGGAACTAGAATATAGCTGATATTGTGCAGAAACGCTTCAAGCGTTCCCGTCGTCAAATCCCTACCGTCCAGAACGCCGATCATGAAGGTGCTTCATCGAATCAGAATATCGAGGTAAGTATTCATTATTCTGATCTTGGACTTGTCTGAGGGTCTACCAAGGATGCGTCGCATCTGCATCCTTCCGATGGCGACAAGCCTGCCACATCTGAAAATCTAAGTGGCCGTGTGAATGAAGGAGCGTCCGGAGAGCCTGCTTCGAAGGTATTTACGCCAAACGATCTAGTTTTCATTTCTAAATTTTCGTGGTCGTGCAGGTCCTTGATGCCCCTCCTGGCGTGGAAGATATTCCTGATTCCCAATTAGTTGATGCTAAACTTCGGGATGCCCGCGAGGGTGTGGAAAGTATGGGACTACTTGGGAAACACGTCGCTTCTGCGTTATCCAAAGCCGAGGATGGGCCAAAAGATCTCGCTGCCGCAGGCGATTTCCAGTCCACATATCTTCAACCACTCAAAATTTTCAACACTGTCATCGAGGAACTTGCGAATGTAT